TTCAAATCGCGATTCTGTTGAGAATTTTATTACGAATTAGGACTGTATTTGAAGTGACTTTTTCATAGAGAATGGCTTTTATATTTTATTTATCAATAAAAATATAAGTCATTTAAAAATAATATAATTATACGAGTAACCGCAATCAAATTTTTCCTTATGAAAATAATTTATAATTTTAATGAAATATAAACAAAATTTGGTTGGTTAACAAAATTGGTAGAAAAAAACAAGAACGAATCCCAAATAATTACGAACAGGAAGTCGATGGGAGGACATCAAATTTAATACTATTAAAACAACATTTAGAAGGATACAAACTTAGGAATGATACTATTTGTTTCAATAGAAGTTTAACGAATAACCACTACAAACCTAGAAGGGTCTTGGGTTCAGTTCTATCTAGGCAAAGTACAGTTTCAAGGCCTACGGTTGTGCAGGGAGGGGATCGGACCAGGATCACGCTCAACCGCCAAGTTTTTCCCCTTAATCAATTATTTAATTAAGGGTACCCAGTTTAAAGAGGTTGGGTGTGCCCCCGGAGGGTCTCACTACCCCAGGGTCGCCCCACGACCAATGAAACGGAATAAATAATTTTTTTGCCATTAACCGGAATTCGAACCCGGAACGGACCTTGAGCACCGGAAGCTTAGTGCCCTACCAATGAGCTACCCTGCTCCATTTACGAATAACAAACATAATAAATTTATTTTTTCGGAATATATACATTTTTTATACTATAAAAAATTCTTAAAATAAGATTTTGAAATGTCATTAACATTAGGAAATCATTAAAAACTAAATCTGATAACCAAACAGGAAGCCTTAACGTCCCAAACTAAAATAACTCTAGGTCAACCTTCAAGGTAGAATTCAGAAAAACTTTTAGTGACAAAAAAATAAATGAACAAATGGTTTCCTCATCTGAATAGTGTTTTAGCCTTTCGGACGGTCCACACTCTATGTCTAATAAGGAAAACAAACAAACTTTTTTAAAGCTCTTCTCTAATGAATTAAAATAGATTTTTTTTTTTTTAAATCAACTCAGACAAGGATATGTTTTATCTGTACATAAAACAGATATGACCGCGTTTGAATCGTAAAGGAATGAGTTACAATCATCGACTATGAATACCAAATAAATCAACACTACATACAGGGTGATTATATGAGCAAATTACATTTAATTTAATTTAAGACAGAACGTATTTTTGTCTTTTCTCATGGTTGTCGCGTTTTCTCTTTCATAGAATTTCCTTCAAATCTAAGATATTCTTATCTGATAAGTAAACAGCCTACACTAAAATGCCAACTGCTATAGTTTTTACTTTTACAGCCAGCCACATTCTTCATAAGTGTCGTACTTATCACGTATTAATTTAAATCGAATTAGTGTTGCCCAAATGAGAGACCATGATGAGTCTTGGTCTTGCGTACTCAGTCTTGGTCTTGCGCAAGAGTCTCGCAAGTCTTGCAGTTGACAATTAGCCTATTACTATACAGATATCACTGCAATTAACTAAGCCCGAATGGAAAATTGGATGAGTTTGCAACAATATTGCAACAGTCAGGAGGTCTTCGTCTTGGTCTTGCACTTGGCAAGACAAAGACCGATTTTGGGCAACACTAGACTTATTCCCAAACTATCAGTTATTTAAAAAAATTATAAAGTTAAAATAAGGTGTGTGATAAAATTTCTTAAATATGATGATTTGCTAAATACAATTTAATTTTTTTCTTCTAAAATAATTTAGTATTGAGGTAATTGAAAGGAAGATTAGACAGGCGTTGAGGAACTTGGTGTTTTACGCCTCTAAGCCCTAAATAACAATATTTCCTTTAAATATAATTATGAAAATATACATTTGATTCATTAAAAAATACGGTTTTTATCAAAATTTATTATGCAAAATGTACGTATGTCTAAGATTATAATGAACAATTGCTTAAAACACTGATGTACAGAGTGTTTCAAGATCAAATGGCAAAGCTGCAAAAATGAACTAAGGACCTCAAAACAAGAAAAACATTTCTTACTGAAGGTATATCCGCAAATGGTTTGTTTAGGAGATAATCACACCTAAAGATTTTCGTTGTTATGAATTATTTACATTATATGAACTAAATAAAACATATTAATCTGTTCTAACTACTTTATTAATTAAATACTAAATGTTGTTCAAAGTGAAGGTATGTCCGCAAACTCTTTGACAGAAAACTACCTTTGCAAGAAGAGGTATCTTCAATCAGAAAAATCGTGAGCATCATTTTCAGAACTAGTTTCAATGCAATGTGTGGTTGGGAATAATAGACAATATTTTAAGAGGTACGCATTTCTTGCCGCCTCGACTCAATGCGGGCACATTTCTAAAATTTCTTAATAATGATTACTATTATTTAGTTGAACATATTCCACTACAACTGAGGAAGGACATGTGGCTTCAATCAGATGGTTGTACTGCACATAACGGAAGAAGTCCACGACAATGGCTAAATGTTAATTATCCTAATCAATGGATTGGCTGTGCAGGACCAGTGGCTAGATCTGCATGTTCTCCAGACCTGACATCCCTGTTTTTTTTTGTTTGGAGTGACATTAAACAAAAAGTCTATGCAAGTCCGGTCAATAAAATTATTCCTTACGAAGGATAATTGAACCTTGTGAAACAATAACAAATATCCAGTGCCGTTCTGCCACTACTGCTGTTGAAGAAAGATGCCACTACTGATGTTGAAGCTTGTCTTAATGCTCAAGGAAATCAATTTGAACAACATTTAATATGAATTTAATGTTTACGTTTAATTAATAAAGTAGTTGGAACAAATAAATAAGTTTTATTTAATTAACAAAACGTAAATAATTCATAACAATGAATATTTTTAGGTGTAAATATCTCCTGAACAAGCGTTTGCGGACTACATAGGAATTTTTTTTTCTTGTTTTGAGATCCATAGTTCATTTTTGCAATTTGGCCACTTAACACTGAAACACCATGTATATCATGGAAATTGGTCCTTATGGTATTAAGTAACTAACTAAATGTTTTTAATCATAATATTTCCGTTTACGTAAAAAAAGATTCTAGCAATTTTGTCTATTCCGAACTATAATACGGTAGTATATTTTTTTTCCAGCTTCCAGGTGAGATGGATTCTGATGAGAAAGGTATCAAAAGAAAGATAATTTCACAGAGATGTGACAAATAACAATTTCAAAATTTTGCCTATGATAACAACTACAATAAATTTGGAGCAATTTATAGGTTTCGAAATTCAGATGGTTTTAAAAGTCGAAGAATTGAGATGGGATGAATTTTGTTTTTGGATTTTGAAGTGGGCAAGGACATCAATGCCTGTTATAGTTCTATTGAAATGATTTAAAATCCTTAAATGTACAGTTTTCGAAATAAATCATAAATCTTGCCGAAAGCCTCTTAGATAACACGGTTACCATGGGATAACATTTTTAGGTGTGAAAAATTAAAATATTTCTATGTGTAAAAGGATTCAATAAATTAAAAATATAGTGAAAAGGAAGTTGGAGATGGGTGGTCAGGATGTCCATAGGACACCTCAATAATACAGAAAGAAACCTTATGATTTTTTTTAATAAATAAAAAATAATTCGGTTTTCTGTACTGTCAGTAATATATTTCTATACTCTTCATAAGTAAGAGAACTACAAAACAAGGCTCGTCAGCAACGAACAATTAGGTTTTAAATAAATACAATTACAAACCTGCATTATGTGAGTTGTTACTGGGGTAGAGTGTATTCTAGTGTGCATTACTATGAATGAAAAAATAATTTTATTCGGGACTACATTCCCCTAAGAATAATAACAGAGTTACATAATTAACATTAGTCTGGCTTAGATGAATGCAAAATGATGGCTAATTAACAGTTGATTGTTATTGCAATTGCGCAAATGATTGAATTAAACTGTCTACAGACGCAAGCAAATTTTACATGTTTGCGGAAGTTTGAATATGGAGTAGGTGGTGGGACAGGAGTTGTTTGAAGGAATTTGTGGACGAGGATTGATGTATGAAGTTAGGTAGAGAGTTCCAAAATGAGGTAGCACGATTGACGAAGTATTTGCTGAAGGAAGTAGTTTTATGGAAAGGGATATATAAATTTATAGGTTGAGACTAGGTACTGAGAGAGTGGATAGAGGAACGTAGAGTAAGGAGTTACAGAATGTATGGAGGGTTTTTTGTTCTGCGGACTTGGAAAAGGAAACGCCAAGGAGAGTTCGCGTCCTGGTGCCAGCGGGATTTTAAATTCTCCGCCCTCACCCTCCGGCCCACGAAAATCCCGTATAGCCTAAAAAAGGCGAGGTAGGGAAAAACAGGAAAACAAGTTCATGAGCTAGTGTATTCTATTTCTATTACCGCTATTATTTTTATTAAATAATTACCATTGGACGACCATAATTTTATTTCAAATTCAATCTTACACCACAAACAAATTTCACCAGATACAACTTGTAAATTTTTAATTTCACGTCGATACAAGTGTACACTCCTCAATATTTTAGCTCAAGATTTGTTTACAATAGATGATATAAATTTAAATATAATTAAACCTATAAAATATGTACTTAATTGTAACAACCATTTAAAACCAGATTAATGAAACAAAAGCGAAGAACATAAATTTTCCTGTCACTTATATTTTAAATTACGGAGAAATCAGAACAAAATAGAATATGAATATTGCCCATAATTAAAAAAGTGATAATGGAAAAAACAAAACAAAGTTAAAGATGTTTGCAACTATTTAATGCAAACCAGTTATAACAGCTTTCGCGCTCGGAGTAAGCAAACCCTGACGACAATGGAGTAACACTGGAGTAAGAAAGTTATCAGAGCGTTTGCACAGGGAAAGGAACCGGATGCGGTAACTGTTCGGCTGGCATATCTAGTAACCTAGCTTATCCTTGCCGCCATTTCCTACAAACCCGCCAAAATGTTATTTGCGAATGGATCCCGACAGGAATGGCTGAAGATCTCGGAGGCTGTGTGCTCACGACGGACCGCCGGCTGCAGCAGAGGAAAGTAGAGTTACGAGGCGATGACGTCAGGTGGTCACAGCTTTCACCGTCAGGTCCTCCGGGCCGGAATTCCCTACAGAGCGAAGTTGCATAATAATTGGCGGGGTCATCTCTAAACTCTTGATGTTCTCTATCGGTCCCGGGTCATTAATGGGCGAACCAAACAACACTAAACCCTTACTCCACTAGTCGCTACCAACTAATCTCCCTATTCAAATACTCCTATAAAATCCAACTCAACATTACAGCAAACGACCAGCTGAAAGATAAACAAATGTTGGCTAGAAGGAATATTCATTTTAGAACAAATACATGTATCAAAGAAAGCAGAACTCCCCGTCTTTACAATAAAAATCAGCCTGACCATAATACCGAAATAACCCATGTTATTTTTAATAAATAAATTTGATGTTTATTGTACTTCACTTTTCGCACAAAAACAAGTGACAATCAACCAAAAGTCCAAACTTCTCAATTCATGCATTAACTTTAATAATGTAATAGCAATTCCTCATTTCCGGATTATTTTGTTTTTTTTTTACTTTAACAGCAACAAATATAAATAACGAATTTCTAATTACAACAGAGCAGTATAGGTTAGTTGTTAGTGTTTTAACATTTTGAACGAAACTAATCATGTAAAAAGGATACACAAAAAAAAAAAAAAAAATGTTTGAGCTTGTAACGCCCTGAGTCTTTGAAATAGGACAAATCGAGTCTTTTCCTTCATCTGAGAAAATAGGGCAACCGCTGCAGGCAGGTTATACAACCAACCCTCTTTGCACTCGTCTCAACACATGGAGGAAGCTTAGAACCTTTTACTTTTCCTTCACCTCAATAAAGAATGACAACATGCAGTCCATCGATAGTTTTTAATTTTCGTACATTTTTTTATTCTCAACTAGAGATATTTAAATTTATCTACAAAGAATCATTCAAGCATTTTGTTGGCAACATAGACATATATGCTTAACCATTGTCGAAACACAGAGAAGTGTTTCATAATAATAATAAATAAAATTTAATCAGCATAGATAAAACCAATGAACTCATAATCCCAATCCCAATATTCATAATGTTTATATCCAAAAGAAAACGCGTATCCAGAAGGAAACTAGATGGGGCAGCTGTCCACTATTTACAATGTGAAAGAAATTTTATTTTAAAAAGGAAGGAGATGGTCCGGGGTTGCGGTCATAAAAAGGCTAAATAGTGGTAAAACTATTTTATTGAAAGCCGCTTGGCTTTCAATAAAATAGTTTTACCACTATTTAGCCTTTTTATGACCGCAACCCCGGACCATCTCCTTCCTTTTTAAAATAAAACTATTTTATTGAAAGCCGCTTGGCTTTCAATAAAATAGTTTTACCACTATTTAGCCTTTTTATGACCGCAACCCCGGACCATCTCCTTCCTTTATAATGCAACGGTCAACCATTAAATATTCAAAATTTATATTAAATTAGCAATAAATATAAAAAATGGATTTCTGATAAAACAAAGCTACGTTCGTATTTCAACGTCATAAAAAGTTAATTTCACGCCCATAAATTAATTTTAGCCCCTTTTAAATAATTGTTTCTCGTTTTGGTTACACCCTGATTCCAAAGAATATTGGTGGGCTAAGAGCTAACCACCAGCCCACACTACGCCACGATACCGGAAAAGAAAAAATAACCTTTGTTGATAGAAATCTATTCTTCTTCCTTGTCCAATTCAAATCGACTGACATCTTCGTTTCACGCTTTCTTGATAGTTGAAAAATCAAGATCTTGGGAATATAATTCATTATCTGAAGTATCTTCTGTGAGATTTTCGATCAGGATTGGAATACAATTATTTTCTTGGCAGTTTCTTAACCTACGGCAACGAACACGAGGATTTGAACGAAATGATTATTTAGAGTACCAAATGTCTATATTTTAGCGTCTCTTGTGTCACCTAAAACCTTTTTCACCTAAACTTGGTCATTTGAAAACCCATACAAGCCAACTTGCGTTTATATCCCTCTCAAATTTGTCCCTTGTATTTGTTATAACAACTGATAATTATCATAGTCCGTGGTACAGACCCCTTTTTATGTTTTTATTAACATCAGCCTGAAACTTCGTAAATAGTTTCATCTCATCGTAACCTACAACTATCTTATTTACGAAAACACTTGGAATTGGGGGGTTTTCAATCTGGAGGGGGGCAAACTTTGTCTAATTAATTAGGTACTAAATACTCATTTTCTTTCTTCTTGGTTCGTAAGATAATTTGATTACGAAATCGAGAAAAAAGGTGACCTTCAAAAATATTGAGCCGTTTGACGTGACCTCACCCTCAAATTTCAAAATAACGATGGTCGACAAGCGGTCCAATATTTTGGTAAGCCACCTTTAATCTCGATTTTGTGGTCAAATTATCTTACGATCAAAGTAGAAAGCAAATGGGTATTTACAAGTTTTTAGTATCTTATTAAATAGACAAAGTTTGCCTCCCTCCAGATTGAAAACGGTCCGATTCCAAGAGTTTTCGTAAATAAAATAGTTGTAGGTTACGATGAGATGAAACTATTTGTGAAGTTTCAGGCTGATGTTAATAATACGATAGAAAGGGTTCTGTACCACGGACTATCACAGTTCTCCTGCATAAGTTCCAACTTCTATTCATGTCGTCGAGAATTTACTTTTGTTCCAGCTGACTTGAATATTTCAGACTCTTATCTTTACTTTCAGCTCGAACTTCAGCCACCACTAATAAGTGATCGGTATCATTTCCATCCCGTATGGCCTCATAAAAAATGAGGTTGAGCCTTGAGCCAATTAGAACTTGATCAATCTGAGAGGTTTTAATTGAAACATATCTTCTCTATACACTGAGGTGTATCATATATTCTAATGGGAGAAACAGGAGCTTCCTACATCCGAATTTTCGGATTATGAAATCGACCAATGATTGATTAGTAAATTATTTATCACAATTTTTTCATTTAAATAACCAAGTACAAGTGTCAAATCATGTCTAGAGCACCCATCGTTGCATGGCTCCACCTCCTTATAAAACAAGTTTTTGTTTTCCTTTTCAGAGACATCTGTAGAAGTATGTACGTACATTATTCAATAGTTATATAATATTCGTTTAATGCCTATCGTGCAGGATCTGGATTTATTGCTTCTATGACAACAAGAGGAACCTGTTCCCTTCTTATAATCCCAGAACCAAAGTTTATCTCTGCACAATCCACCTAAGCTCCTGGGCGACTGTTAACGCCGCATACGCTCATATATTTATTATTTTTTCTCACCGTCTTAACCCCTATGAAATGTTAATAATAAAATTGTTTATTTATTTTTTTGGTAAAAAACTGAGGGATAGTGTCCCAAAAATGCATTTAAGTTTATAGTAATTTATATATTAAGGTTTATTTTGCAATGTATTATCGCGTTGTATATATACACCAGACCGGCAGTAATACCCAGTCTTAGGGATTAAGACATCTAAATAATACGATAATACTACCGGAATGTCAGTCTGGAGCGAGTTGCCGTTTGTGTTCGACGTCTACCCCCACCATTTTCACCAGCTCCAGGCTCGTCTCGTCTCATCTTCACCTCACCTGCGCCAGCCAAGCGCCATTTTGAAAATCCCAGCTGTGTCATCGAACTTTGACAGCTAAACATCGTAGAAGGTTACCTCGTTGGAAGCAGAACCTCCAATTTGGCTCGTTTATTTTTTTTTTTTTTTTTTTTTTTTTTTTTTATTCTTCACCGCCACGAAAGACAGTAAATTACTTTAATTTTTTCCTAGGCTAAATTAGTTTTATTCTCATGGACAGTTATTTTTTTTATCTATAATTTTGTAAGTTATATTTTGTTATTAATGTTTAATTTGTTTTTATTTACTCTGAGTATTGTCTTTATGTTTTTAAATATTGTATATATATATATATATATATATATATATATATATATATATATATTTCTCATCTCTTTTATTTCAATATAATAAATATTGTAAACATTCAAAAGGGGGATTATTATTTTCCATTTTTAATGACTTTTTTTTTTTTTTTTTTTTTTTGGTCCTTCCCTTCCTCGCCGTTAAGGCTATACGGGATTTTCCCGGGCCAGGGAGTGTGAGCGGGGATTTAAAAGACTCCCTCGGCACCGGGAAGCGAACTCGTGACTATTTTTATATCTTTATAATTCATATGTCAGGTTGCCAGGCAACGGCGGTGTAGTGCACACGCTTTAGCCCATTCGGCTACCCCGCCCACTCATCCATTTTTAATGACTGAATGCTTCTATTTTAATATTTTCATGTGCATGTTTTTTTTTTCTCTCTTTTACAGGTCTCACTAATTTTTTTCCCTTCTTTCCCACCATTTAGTTTTGCTCGAATTTTCCCACCTTTGGGGAAACTCACCGGGGAAAGGTTTGTGTTTTATTTTTTAAGTACCCCTGGCAAAGGTAACTCAGGGAAAACTCACCTGGCAAAGGGAAACTCACCGGGGAAAGGTTTGTGTTTTATTTTTTAAGTACCCCTGGCACCAACAGCGACAATACCGTCTATACCATAATTAGGCAGTATATTGAAGAGTTTGTGCTATGTTCTATATAATAATAAAAGTCTATATAATAATAAAAGCCTCCACGTACCCAGTGCGAAGTCCATGTAACAGTTATTGAGTAATTTCTAATTAATCGGTCTGGCAAATCGTTGGAATTTAATAAACTTTTAAAAAATATTACCAGTACATACTAAAAAGTTATTACTATCATTTTTCAGAATGGGGAAACTTAAATAAACCCCGAATGAAAAAATGGAAGAATTAATTTTTTTTTGCCAGTCTTGGTCTTGGTCTTGCAACAATTAAGAGGTCTTTGTCTTGGTCTTGCAAAGTGTTAATTGGTCCGGATGGATATTTATTTGAACACAATGGATACAAAATCAAAAGTTTTAAATTTAAAATCAAATATCTAAAAATAACTAAAACCTGAGCAGCTGGTAAAAAGCTGCCGGGTCGGGAAGTGAGAAAACATCTTGAGTTTCTCAGTCTTACTGCTCCTTCTTACGCCATTTACACAACACAGGTTCAGGTGAGATACCCGGATGTGGGAGAGGAGGGAGGTGCCGTTAAACCGACTCCGATTCCAACAACAAAGGTAAAGCGGCGTTTAGTTGTTACAATGTGTTGTTCCAGGGGCATACAATTGTATACAGTATGCTAACATTTTATTTTTGTATAACTAAAAGATGTTTTAATCAGGAGCCTGCTAAATCATTCTGAATTGCTTGGATGTCCACCTATAGGTTCATTTATCTGTAAATATTTTAACGAAATTTGTACATAATTCGTCAATTTTTTTTTTAGTTAATTTTCCATAATTATCACTAATGATTTGCTTTTATATTTTTTTTTATATTCAAGTAAACTATACATGCACTGAAAGAATGAAATATAGGTGTACTGACCTCCCAAACGAAGAAAGAGTAGTAACGATATCAGCGCCACTGAGAAATCGATAACTGAAGTGAGTCATACATCTGCTATAGAACTGATTCTATTTATCCGCCTTTAGAAAACAAGCAATAACCAATATAAACAGCTGGTGATCTGTCGATACATCTTTGAAACCATGTTACACCCATATATTTTAGTACTAATTTATTTATCTCGTATGTGTTGACGGATCCAAAATCTTGGTTATATCTCACGTGTATTAAGACTTGCGTGCACTCTTTTCCCTCCTCCCCAGCCCCCTCGATTGGAGTTTTTACGTGCCAAGAACTGTTTCTTTTTTTACGATAACTCTGAAAAGAAATGGAAATTCACACGAACCTAATTTAGTTGCATGACCCCAAGGGTTGTGGGCGTTCTGCCATCTGAGCTAAGGGTTAACCACCCATTAACATATACAACTTAAAAAGTGTGAATTTACTTCTTCTTTAATAAATAGTAAAATTAAAATTGGTAATTATTATTTTGATGCCTTGCGCTACTTCAAATAGGTTAGTTACATCATTCTCTAAAAAAAAAATCAATAGTTTATAGGCATCCATATTTTTCAAATACTAAAAAAAAAAAGCTACGATATAAAATACATACAATGATATGAAAATTTCCATTTTTTTTCTTAATTCGTCAAGAAGGGTTAAGGTTAACGTTCATCAAACTGTTATCTTTGTATTGAAAATAAAAAAACCATTGGAGTCCGCACAATACATTGAATGAAGGAGTATGCTATAGCGATTTCCATTCGTAAATCTGTTCTTATGCCTTCCAATTTTATTTTCTAATTCTTTTGATAAAGGAATCCAGGTATTATCCATATAACAAAACACAATGTTTTCGTTGGGTATTGGTATATGTAACAAAGTTCCACTGCCACTTCAGATAACAGCTTCAAGAATGACTTCATAGAAGTAAAAATTAAATACTGGCGAAAGAATGATGTTTTGAATGAGCTTGCTCCCTCCATATGCTATGTGTATTACCGGCATTGGAAAAAGAGGAAAAATGATCAGCAAGGATATATCATTTTGTCTTAATTTTCTTTTAATGAAATTAATCTTAAATTTATACCCATCATTATATTTTAAATTACCTTGCAAAAAAACAAAATAGATTAAAAGACAAAACAAGAAAAAACACTAAGGGTTCTTAAATACATTATCCAGGCTTCAAGTCAAGTACTGCTTATTTTATTATAGTTTGGTGGTTGGAGGAGATAAATTTTGAAACTGATACTGGATGACTAATAAAAAAAAAAAAACTAGCAATTATCACAGAGGACAATATTATTTTTGAAATTTTCAGCACGGTAAATCAAAAATAAGGTACCTTATTATCTCACTTTCCTACATTATAAATATTGAGAGAATGCCAAAAGTGAATGGAAACCCGGAAATCGGAAACCGACTAAGAATCCCTTGAGAATTTATATATCATATCATTCTTTGTTTCTTGTTTGAAATAAAGGCGATTAATAATTTTATTTTCTCCAGTTGTTATGACTTCCATTGAAGTCCTATAAAGTAAATAAAATACTATAATATAAATAAAATATGAGAAAAGTGAATTTTAAAATTCGAAACAGAATGCACATGAAAGGACATAGTATGTTGTTTTAGTGACCATTAATGTGATTGTTAATCTAGTAGTGAAATATGACAATTAAATTATTCATGTTAATTAAAATCATTAACTGATGCAGGTCTCCAAGACCAATAATTCCATAAAACGTAGGAGGATGTTATCACCAATCGGAATTTCTAAAAATATATTTTTATATCATTATTTTTAGGTAATGAAATCCTGAAGTCCGTCATTAGATTTTATTATAATGTTTTAGAAATATCTCTTAATTTTTAAAGAAAAACTTGGAAAATAATAAAAATAAATTAATAAAACTTAAAAGGTAGATAACCACAAAAAAAAAATTAGAAAATGATCTTTAAGAGGTGCTGCTGCTATAATTCTAGCTTTAAAAAGTCTTCTATTTTTAATTTAGTTACTATTGCTATTGAATATTCTTTTTTAATTAGAGCTTATTTATTTTTTATCATACATATGTATATACGTTGTTGATACATTCTTCAATAAATATGTCTAACTGAAAGAATACTAATACAGTAGTGGAGCAATCGTTTTTTAGTGATAGGTTATAAAAAGCATATTTGTGAGCCTTGATACCAAGCAATGTTCATAATGAAACATAAGAATAATAGAAATAAAATGTACTAATATTATACGTAGCAAAAACAATATTGGCATTGATGCACACAACAGGCGTCTGATAAA